TGTTTATTGAAGTATTTAGCCATTTAAAACATGACAAATTACATTAAACACCTTACCCTTTCCCCCTTCCCCCACCTTCCTGCCATCGCATAGCTTATATCATTAGTTCAAACTGACGTTACTACACAATGTACATTAGTCCCGGGCTTTACAGATGCAGAATCATAAAGCATATTGTGAAAAAAAACAAAAAAAAAACAATATAATAAAATAATAATAATAATAAAATACATAAACAAATAAATAAAAAACAATAACAACAATACTAACATTAAATAAATAAATGAATGACTATATACATCCATCGTCTAAACCACTTATCCTTCTGGGTCGCGGTGGGGTGCTGGAGCCTATCCCAGCTGTCATTGGGCAGAAGGCAGGATACACCCTGGACAGGTCGCCAGTCCATCGCAGGGCAGACAGACAGACATACACAGTCACACCTAGGGGCAATTTAGCATGTCCAATCAGCCAACTTCTTGCTGTGAGGCGACAGCGCTACCCACTGTGCCACCGTGCTGCCCTATGAATGAATATGTATATATCAATTAAAGAACACATTTTTGCTTTGGAATATCTGGGTGCTGATTCAATATCTACCTCCTCCATAAATTTCAGAAACAATTTCCATATTTTATAAAAAACTTCAAGTTTTCCTTTTACTGTGTAAAGTATCCTTTCCAGGATTAGACAGGAAGACAACTCTTTCAGCCATGCGTTCACCGAAGGTGCATATATACTTTTCCAATGTGTACTAATCAGGCATTTAGCATATATTAGACAGAGGTCTACCATTTGCTTTCATGTTTTTTAAACCATAGGGTCTCTGGGTACAAACCTAGAATACACAGTTTTGGACAGATGGGTATTTCTTTGGAGATAATCCTGGAAATAATTCCTATTACTTGCCTCCAAAAGTTCTGTATTGCTATACATTCCCATAAACAGGGAAATAATGTTCCCTTTTGTCCTGTACATTTTATACATGTGTCTGGGATATCTGGGTTCATTTTGCACATTTTCTCTGGAGTAATATAAGTTCTCAGCAACCAGTTATACTGAATTAATTTGAGACGTGTATTTATTAAAAGATTATGAGTATACAGGCAACAATAATTCCAATCTTCTTCGCTAATAGAACTTTGTAAATCATGACTCCATGCCAATTTCTTAGAATTTGTTGCTTCATTTGATTTATTTGCAAGACGTCTGTACAGAGTTGAGATTTGATCTTTAGAGACTGTGTTATTATCTGCTAGTTGTCCTATAGTAGTCTTTGGTGGTAACTGAAAAGAGTGCATTTTGGAATTTATGAAACTCTGAAGCTGAAAATATTTAAAGAAATGGGTTTGTGGGATACTAAATCTTCTCCTGATTTCTTCAAATGACGAGTATGTTATCATTATAAATATTGGCTAATTTATGTATACCGTTTTTCATCCATAATTTGAAACCAGCGTCTAATTTACCAGGAGTAAAAGATGAATTACCAATTATAGGAGAATACTGAGATAATTCTGGTGTAATACCCAGAGCTGCATGCACTTCATACCAAACAGCTATAGTATTCTTAATAAATGGGTCTTTTATTTATTTATTTATTTATTTTAGTTTTTAGGGGAATCAGAATATAGATATGAAGTTAGAGCTAAGTCACCTACTGCACTTGCTTCTATCTGGACCCAAGGCTTGTAAGATGCAGGTGAAATCCAAAAAAAGGATGATCTCAGTTGTGCTGCCTGGTAGAACCATAGCAGATTTGGCATTTGTAACCCCCCTCTTTCATAAGGCAGATAAAGTAAAGTTAGACGAAGGCTAGACCTTCTATTAATCCAAATGAAGTTGGTAAACAATTTGTTCATTGAGGAAAAGAAATGAGCAAGAAGGGGCAAGTGGGATTGATTGAAACAGATAAAGAAATTTTGGTAGAATATTCATTTTAATAATGTTTATCCTACCAATTAAAGAAACGGGAAGTTGTGACCGTCTTTTTATATCATCATTCACGTTAGTTATGATAGGTTCATAGTTAGCGGCTATGAGGTTTTTAAGGTTAACAGTAATATTTGTAACAAGACATCTGAATCCTTCCAGCATGTTAGTGAATGGATGTTGTACTGGTGGTTGTAGTCTATCTTTATCATGGAGAAATAAGATGGAGGATTTAGCCATATTAATTTTATATGCAGAGAATTTACCAAATGTCTTAATCAACTGTATAAGAGATGGAGTGTGTGATGTGTCTGCTCTATTCTGGGAGAAAGAGGACGACTCAGGCCTGTTCATGCAAATCTGAGTTTCACCCCACTGCTCTCTCTCTCTCTGTCTGACTGTTTACTGCTTAAAACTGCTTGTTTGTGTTCAGCTGGGTGGGCTGTGGGGGGCTGGTTTCACTTCTTACTTTAGTGCTGCTGCCTCCAGGATGTGAGTCTGATATCCTGATCTACCTGTCAGTGTATCAGAGTCACAGTGCTGTGTGGTTTAGTATCCTAAGCTGATGTAAAAGAGACTCAGTTCAGAGTCTGATGTTGATTAATAGACCTATGGAGTCTGAAATGGATCATGATGTGATGGTGCTGTAGAAGAGCATGTAGTGTGTTTGTTCTGAGGGAAATAATGGGAGTATAAACAGTGTAATCAGTGCAGTGGTGAATGAAGCTCCAGCTGATTCTCCTGTGCTCTTTATCACAGTGTACAGAGAGTAATGGTGCAGCAGGAACATGGCCAGTGAGAAAACCCACAGCAGCGTTCCTGCACGCCTCCCAGTTCCACACTCCAGGATCAGTAGTGGGAGTTTTATTGATCAGTGTGGGAGGGTGGAGCTCCAGGAGGCTGCTGGGAGGGGCTGAGGTGGGCTGTGGCTCCCCCTGCTGGTCAGTCTGCCTGTCAGACTCCATGGTGGCTCACTCTGTCTAACAGCACACCAACTGCTACTGACCACTGTTTCCATCAGATCCAGTTAGACTCTTGGGAAGTTCTGCACTGTAGGAACACAGAACAACAGTGTGAGTCGTGTAGTGTGAAAGGAGTTGAGAGTGAAAGAGCAGCTTAAAATCAGACTCAAGTAAAAGTGTTGATACTTCAGTGAAATCATGACTGAAGTAGAAGTAAAAGAACAACTTGAGTAAAAAAGTATCAGATCTAAAATCTAATCGAGCTCTGAGTTTTTCTAAAGAGCTCAGTCGTGATCCATGACTTTTAGAGCAAGACCTCCAGTTCAGGACATTAATGTTAAAACACAGTCATTAATAAATAAATAACAGGACAAGTAATCTGCTGTAGATAACAAATGTTGAGTGTATGAGATTAATTTTAATCAAATCACGATAAAATTCTAGATTGTGTGATTAGTACCTCTACGGTGTTTGTAATGTAACGTTAGCACTAAGCTAATGGTGGTGCACATGTTGAATAAAATTAGAGAAACTGCTTTTAACAAAATATATATTTTTAGGCTAAACAGACAAACTATTATGCTCACCTCTGAATATGATCTCCTAATAAAAACTGACGAGTCTGAGTTTGTTGAAGGATTTCTTCAGGGACTCCCTCTTTCTCAGGACTGAGAGAAACATCCATTTCATAATCTGTCCAGATCCTTATAATAAACTTTATAATAAATGAGACTCTAGCTGAACTCTACAGCTAGTTCCAGACCTGTGGAGATCAGGAAATAAATCCCTAAAATCACAAAGCATTTACAGTCTAATGAAAAGAAGAACAAATTCCATCTAAAGTCCTGATTTCCACAGAGTGTGTTATTGTGTGTGTCCATCCTCCCCCTCAGCACCTGCAGTAGAGTCCAGCTGCAGCAGTGCAGTCTCTGTGCAGCTGACTGAGGGAGCTTTTTGTACACCTACTAAACACTGTGGGAACACCCAGCTACTACTGATCTCATGTACACTCTGACAGTAATAATCTCCTGCATCTTCAGTCTGGACATTACTGATGGTCAGAGTGAAGTCAGATCCAGATCCACTGCCACTGAAACGATCTGGAACACCTGACTTTCTACTGTTAGCGTAGTAGATCAGGAGTTTAGGAGCTTCTCCAGGTTTCTGCTGATACCAGTGTAGAAGGTGATATGAACTCGCAACATACACTGCAGTGCTGGTTCTACAGTTGATGGTAACTGAGTTTCCTGGAGAAACAGCTGTTACTGTAGGGGTCTGAGTCACAGTCACCTGACCACTGGATCCTGAAATAAAATAATGTATATGAATGAATGACAATATATACACTTCAAATACACTGACACAAATATAATTGTTCCTTGAGTGAGAAAAGTACACTTTAAATACAAGTTAAAGTCAAAGGTGAATGAGTGAGTTACCTTGAGTCCAGAGGGTCAGTGTCCAGATGAAGATGGAGACCAAAGTCATGGTTGCTGTGGGTGAAGTTTGTGGGGCAGCAGCTCTCAGTCATGAAGTGTTAAACTCACAGGACTATAAACACTAGCAGAGCACTGAAGCATGGGCTGATAATGCAAAGTGGAGCCTCTATGGAAATCATCTTTCTATCAACACTGAGTAAAGATGATCATATTTATCTGATATTGTTTGATCAGACATTTCTGCTCAGTGTGGAATCTGATGTTTAAAGTGCAGCTTTTTATAGAGATGTGGGAAAATGAAATCTCTTCTGATTCCCACCAGAGTTTTCTGAAAGAAGACAGAATGATTTGAGCGTTATATTACATTTCACTCCCCCAGATGATCCTTAAGGCATTAAGTGGAGAGGAAAAATAAGGGGGTCACAGAGGTTTGTGGAGGTCAGTAGTGAGTCAGTAGACTATTGCTGGGAGCTACTTCAGCTCAGCCAGGCTTGTCTAATTCTAGAGAGATTAGAAGTGAAATATTCCCTTTAATGTGCAGCAGAGGGCGATCTCTTATTGTGCAGTTCTGACTGTCTCTGCCTTTCATTTGAGGGTTTCTGCAGCTACGACTGCCACCCAGTTTGTCTGTATCAGGACTGGAGGACTTTTTGGTGGAGGAAACACAATGAAAACAGTGAGAACCTTTTAATCTAATACTGTTAGAAGAACTTTTATTTTTAACATTGTTATAGTTTTAAAGTGTATTTAGCCTTTAGAAGGTTAACTTTGTTTGTCTGCTGTGTAAATTCAGAAGAACCAAGCGTGTCCTCAGTTTAGATGTTTTCCTGCTTATAAAATAATCCTTGTTGGGAATAAAAGGCAGAACGTGTGTAGATCTACAGTGTGTAGTTTATTCCATTATTAGATGATTGTAGAATCCATTAATATTGTATTATAGGTCAGAAATAGTGCGTGTAGAGGCTGAAGAGAGCGGCGTGTTTAGAGCAGGAGGTTTTTGTACAGCCAGTAAACGAGTTTGTATCACTGTGGAGGACTTTTGGTGGAGGAACCAAACTGTCAGTTGGACGTAAGTACACTTTTACTCCTTATTCAAAAGGAATCTTTTATTAAAATGATTATGGATCAACAGTCCAGACGTACTTGATGTTCTTCTAAATCAGTTCTGATCCAAATTTGAATGTATTTCATTAGAACTTGGCTGAAGTGTGGCGAGCGTGGAGCTTTAGGCTTTACCACGAGCTCCTGTTTCTGAACTGGATTTCTTTTCTTTAAAATACTAATATTTCCTAAAGGTTTCCTGTGAAGTGTTCAGTAATGACGTTTCTTTAAAAAGATCAAATGTAGAGCTGGATTGTAGTGTCAGTGTTGGGCTCCATTAGAGCAATTCTGTCTCCATCTGGAAGCCACAATGTGGAGGTTATTCTGAGCAGCGTTTTCTGTTCTAAAGCTTTGAAGCCATAGTACATGGAGACTGCAGCTCCATTTATTTATTGATTATTTATTGTTTTGGAGGAAATCAAATCATGTTCCATTTCAAATTTCACATCACAGGATGTGCAGAATGTCAGAGTTTTACTGAGTGAAATTCAGTAATATTTTCTAATAAAAATGTAAATGAAGTGCAGCTATGAATGTGACTGTAAATATGAGTTTGTGTGTGAAACGGTTGAGTTTAAGGTTGTAATTAGAGTTTGGTTTTTAATGCATCACTGAACTCAGTTTTGCTCTGTTAGAAATAAGGGAAATGAAACTGTGTGTGTCCTAGGTTTGGCCCAGCCCACCCTCACGGTCCTGCCCCCCTCCAGCGTGGAGCTGCAGCAGGGGAAGGCCACACTGGTGTGTTTGGCCAATAAGGGCTTCCCCTCAGACTGGACGCTGAGCTGGAAGGTGGACGGGAGCAGCTGGAGCGCGGGGGTTAGCCAGAGCCCCGGGCTTCTGCAGAAGGACGACGGCCTCTACAGCTGGAGCAGCACCCTGACCCTCCAGGAGGACCAGTGGCTAACGAAGAAGACAGTGACCTGTGAGGCCACCAAGGACTCCCAGACTCCTGTCAGCAAATCACTGAGCAGAGAGCAATGCACTGGGCAGTGAGCGTCCACGCGTGTGTTGGAGCTGCTAGAGCTCCTCTTGATCTTCAGTGAGCTCAAACATGGCTCTGCTTAATGCTCTGATCTTCATCTCATCATTTCATCATCACAATAAAGAGTTTCAGTATAAATATCTTCAGTCTTTCATTGATTATTGTGTTATTTTCTTTTTCCTGAAACAGCAACAATAAACATATAAACATTTTTTGATGTATAATTTACTGGAAACAAGTCTGTTCATTTCTTTAAAAATTAAAGCATTTCGATTGGAATAACTGCAGTGTTTCATCTTTTCTGTCATGATATTGGAGGATCTATCAGAATAAACAACATGAGACACAATGATTAAGTTCATAAGAAATGTATTTGTTGTTGTTAATTTTTTCCAGTGTCAGAGATTCAAAAAAAAGGTCAAACAAATGAAGAATTAATTAAGACAATATTTTTTTATATTGGGTAACAAATGCATGAATATACAACATTATTTTTTTAACCAATCATAATAAATGTTAACGGTTTCTAAAATTTTCCATTTCTATGAAATGGAACAATGATCAAACAAATGAACAAATGAGTAAATAAATAAATAAATAAATAAATAAATAGCTCCACATTCTGTCACTTCGGCCTGTTTAAATTCTCATGATTCAAAGTGTTTCTCACAGTGTTTTAACAGCATTTGTCTGAGTTTAAAGCCAAATCTACAGCATATGGATCTCCTGTAGATCACATATCATGTCTTTGCTGTTGACATGAAGTGACAGGGATTTAAGCTGAAAACACATTTTGGTCTTTAAAACTGAAAAATTAATTCAGTTTAATGGAAAAGTCTGATGTCTTTCTGTAAACTTGAAAATGTATTGTGTGAAGTCACTGGTGGGCAGAGCAGTGTAGATCGCTGTGATAGCAGATTACTATGAGTGGCTCAGTCATATTTAATCTGATGAAGATGATGAATCATCAGTGGTTGTTAGGGGGACGGCAGACCCTCATAACACAATCAGCCCTTTAGGTTTGAGCCTGAGAGAAATGAAGCTGCACTAGAAAACCAAAAAGACCAATCTGACCAAGGAATAATTAGTAACAGTAATTTATATGAATTAAACTGTTATAACACAACCAGGAAATCACTGATTTTAATTCTAAATCATTTTGAAATGAGAGGTTATAAGCAGTAACTTATTTCAATTTTAATGAAATATCATGTACCTGGTGAGTGAAGCGAGATTTAAAGATGTGATGTGACTAATTCATGTTTATATCTGAATTATCTGTTATAAATGATACATAAATGATTTCCAGCACTGATTCCTTAAATGTCCAGGACTCTTAGCTAGTACGGCTTGTGATTCAGTAACTGCAGGGATTTCAGTGCAAACTGGTTGAGCTATTTTGAGGTTATAGAAGTGTGTAATAAAACTCTGGGCCTGCCGGTCAGCCCTGGGCATTTAAGGGGTTAACTTTCACCTCAATGCAATAGAATATTCCCAGTTAAGTCTATGAAGTCCTCGGACACGTTACTGAATCACTTGTCTCCACCTAAATGAGACAGAATAGATTTTATGGAATAACACTGATCAAACTAGCCAGCTAAATGTGTAACAGTATTAGACAAAAATAGCTTGAAATCCCCAGAAGTTCTTCAAGTTCACTCCTGTTAGCACAGTACAAATGAATCTGTTATGCGATCAGTTGCTACCGGTCAATCATGATCTATTATCTGACCCCTGCCTACCATGTGGATGTTTATTCAGAGCGTTCTGTCTTCTGTTTGGGTCTTTCAGCTTCTGAATGGCTGGTTTATGATTCCTCTGATTGTCTTCATCCATCTTGTAGCTGGTCGTTCTCTTCGTCTTTTACCCTCAACTGTCCTTCAGTGAAATGTTCTTTTTCCACTGAACTGTTCTTCTCAGAAAGTGTTTAAACTATGATCCTCAGTTTGGTTATCTGGGCTGTGAGAGGGGAGGTGAGGCTTCATTTGGTTGAGGTTGATCTATTTTCTTTGCCGTCCAAGTTTCTATCAAAAGTCTTCACCAACACCAAAGTTCAAAGGAAGCTATTTTTTCTGTCCTGCTTTTCTAATGTAAACCCAGGTGAAAATTCTGGGTGTAACAGCGGGTTGGCACAAAGCAACAACTTTAAAATCTTTTACTTAGTTTTCTAAACTGATTTTTTACTTCTGATAATCATAATTTAGACACTTATTGTTGTGTTTAACACTTTCATATGAGCTGTTGTTCAGCCTTTAAAGTAGCCTAGCTTTTAAAGTAGCAACTGTGTTCAAATGGCACTACTGTTTAAATCAGTTCATAATAAAATATCCTGCTGAAATGATGTGCTTTAAATTAGTTTTGGCAGATTATTTTGTTTTCAGTCATCAGCTGACGCTGGTTACTGGTTGGTTCTGAGAAAGTGCACAAACAGGAGTCCTGAGTTCTGACCTCAGGACTACAAACAGTAAATAAAACAAACAGAACTAAAATGATGTTGATCAAGTTCTGTGAGTACAGTAAGTACTTTTCCTTTTCTTTATGTGTTTATCTGCTGCTACTAGTGAGATGTTCCATCTAGTGCTGAAGAACCCTGTTCCACAGTGAGGAGAACCCCCCAAAGAGAGAACAGTGCTCACTACTGTAGTGTTTTGGAGTTGATGAGTTCAGTTGAGTGCAGCTTTAGCAGCTGTTCTCAGATCAGTGAGAGTTTCTGAGTCAGAGCAGTTCCTCTACAGCTGAGGGAGGTTTTTGTATCGCGCTCTAACACTGTGTGAATGGAAGGCTGCTACCCTGCTGACAGTAATAATCTCCTGCATCTTCAGGCTGAACTCCACTGATTTTTAGAGTAAAATCTGTTCCAGATCTACTCCCACTGAAACGACCTGGAACACCAGACTGACGGGTAGATGCACCATAGATCAGGAGTTTAGGAGCTTCTCCAGGTTTCTGCAGATACCAGTGGAGATTGTTGCCGATGCTCTCACTGGCTCTGCAGCTGATAGTAACAGAGTCTCCTGGTGAAACAGTCTGAGATCCTGGAGTCTGAGTCAGGATTATCTCCCCAAGTGACTCTAAAGAAAAAGAAAAATGTCTGAGTCAGATCACTGTTTCATCTGTAACCAGAAATCTAATATCAGTAATAAAGGGGGTTAAAGTGGCTCCTCAGAACTGAAATTTAACCCCTGACATTTACCTTGAGTCCAGAGGGTGAGTGTCCAGATGAAGATGGAGACCAAAGTCATGGTTGCTGTGGGTGAAGTTTGTGGGGCAGCAGCTCTCAGTCATGAAGTGTTAAACTCACAGGACTATAAACACTAGCAGAGCACTGAAGCATGGGCTGATAATGCAAAGTGGAGCCTCTATGGAAATGGACTCACCAAACACCTCTATAATAAACACATATGATAATAAATAGAAGATTAAAATTTTAGCTACATTCTATTATTTTAAAGATAGACATTTTTAAAATATAAAGAAGATTTTAGTTTTTATGGTTGAAATTGCCACGTAAGAGTTACAGTCACATTTACAGACACACAGATGTAAAACAGCTGTTCAGAAGAAAACTGTATGTTTAGAATTCCTTCTATTACAGAAAACAGTCTCTTCTAGAAAAGTTCTGATTTTATTACAGGCCTAAAAATGATTTAAAATCTTACCTTGTTTTAGATCCCATTACTGAACTTAAAATGAATCCATGCACACTTTGAATACAGATTTGAACTAACTGAAAACCACATGTCTAAATCAAACACCTCTTCCAGATCTCTTTCACAGAAAGCCCTTTAGACTTGTGTCCCACTGCTACACTTGTTAAGGAGAACAAAGATTCATTAGATAGTATAACATAAATCTGTGAAACCAAACTTGGATATATGTAAATATAAGTAAATAATCTAGATTTCTGTAGGATTTTCAACAATAACATCAAAGCTCTGTATAATAAATATGAGATCTGTGTAACTCTGTGTCTAAACCAGTTTAAGAGTCCTGTATTATGTAACGGGGAAAGAAAGTCAGAGTTGGTACGAGATCTTCATTGAAATGCATCACTGTGGTTCACTTTAAGTGGAAGAACAAAAAGTCATTGGGCCTCATTCTCCAATATCTTCCTAAGAGAAAGGTTCTAAGAAAAAGTCTACATCAGATTCATGATGTGTTCTTAAAGAGCAGAACTGTCCTCACCTTTGTGCTCTTAAGTGTGTAGATTCTGTTCTTACCTAAGAACAAATCCCAGAGAACATCAGTGAGAGTCAGAATCTTCGTACAAACTGCGTAAGTGGGGTTTAAGGAGAAATATCTTCTTACGAACAGTTGGTGGATGACACACTCATTAATGTTTAGTTGTTAAGAGTCTTAATGTTAAACATAGAAGATAAACCAGTTTTAGAGTCATAATGAATCACGAGTGATTACATAAGATTAGTGCCTCGTTCTTGTGAAAGTACCAACACTGATTCAGATCATGATGATCAGCTGGTCTGAGGTCAGTGAGATTCTCCTGTATGAAGACATTCACAGGTTTTAATGAGAGGTTTGAACTGTTTTTATGACACTTCATCTGATGTTAGTTAGATTATGAGTTAGGAAAGTTCTAGTTGTTCCACTGTGTAAAGAGGAACTAGTAAATGTTCTCCAGTGCTAGAATGCATTAGTGCTGCTGCAGAGTTTCCAGTTCTTTTGAGTTTAGTCTGAGTTCTTTACTGTAATGAATGGTGATGGTCAGTGTTGTTAGAGAGGGAGTTCAGCTGTAGATTCAGTGCAGTGCTGTGTGTTGATCTTGAGGGAGTTTGGCTGAATTAAGCTGAACATCTGGTGAAAGTGCTGCTCTATTCTGGGAGAAAGAGGACGACTCAGGCCTGTTCATGCAAATCTGAGTTTCACCCCACTGCTCTCTCTCTCTCTGTCTGACTGTTTACTGCTTAAAACTGCTTGTTTGTGTTCAGCTGGGTGGGCTGTGGGGGGCTGGTTTCACTTCTTACTTTAGTGCTTCCACTAACTGTCAGTGTACCCAGGTCAACCAAGCATTTATTGGTAACAACAACCCAAATGTAGAACAAACAGACACTTCTAATTCTTTACCCTCAGTTTTCATCCTCCTTGACATGTCATCTATCTTTGACTGTGAACCCCCAGAACTTCTTCTCATCTTCAGGATCAATCCTACAAGGTGGCCTGGAAAGGGTATGTCTGGGCTCCTGATAGCCTCACTATTGGAGTTCCCCAAGGGGCAGCTTTAGGTCCACTTCAGTTGTCCTTGAACACAAAATGACCAGGATTAGTTACTACCTCTAACTGTTACACTCACCCAGCTCAATGTGGTGGCAACATAAAAGACAGACTACATGTTAATTACATTTATGCAAAAATATTAGATCATTTTTTTTAAATTATTAAATTGCAAGGTGCTAGAAGACAGGGAGCTCCAGGGCACACTGCAAACAGAGCTTTTAGTCTCAGGCCTCAGTCCAAGCTGGCATTGTGGACATCAGCAGCACCTGGAAAACAAAAATAAAAAACATGAAACTGAACCAGGAAAAAGGAAAACATGGAATGGAACCAGGCAGGGCCTTGACAATATGAACACAACACAAACTGGACTGAACAAAGTGATTT